ACGGCACTTAACAACAACAAAGGGTTTTGAGAACAGTAGGAAAGGAGTCTGATTGGCTCAGCTTGCCATAGCCTAATCTTGTACCCATCACTGTGGTTGAGAACCATTATTGGCTTCTTCTGCTAAAAACAAATGGTTTGGAGAAGAACATTTCTTAGAAGAATAGATAGAGACCACTACTATGAGGCAGAAAGAATTATATGTTCACTCTATCATTCAGTAATCACTTGTTGAATGAATCAAAGTTTATTAGTTGCTTTTTTGGTTTTATTTTTTTAAATGTGACTATTAGGGCATGGTGGATCCAGGAGAGAAGATTAGTGCTACACTGAAAAGAGAATTTGGTGAGGAAGCTCTCAACTCTTTACAGAAGTCCAATGCTGAAAAGAGAGAAATAGAGAAACAATTGCACAAACTCTTTAGCCAAGAACATCTAGTGGTAAGAAATTTTGTATTCTGGATAAATGAAATTGACTTGTTAACCTCAAAATATGGTAGATCTTTTCTCTAAATAAAATAGAATATTTGTATATTTGAAATACATTTGAGGGTAAGTCAAAAAATATTGTTGCTGTTGTTCTAGTTCATACACATACAGGTTTATTCCAAATGAAGCATGTTTAAGCATGTTTCTGTGATCAGTGATGGCTGCAGACGTGTTCTATCAGTAATACAATTATCTTAGTCTCATTAGAGTACCTTCCAAAAAAAGATCCAGTCAAAACATTGGCTTCTGAAGAGATCTGCTGGGCAAGTTAATTTCAAGGCAGAGGTCAGCTCAGAGGGTTATGATAAGTGACCTTTTTGTCTTGAAGTTTTTTTGGATTTTAAAGGTGTTATCTTGATAGATTTTCTTGAAGCACACAGAACAATCACAGGGGTTTGTTATGAAGCGGTTTTCAAGAAAATTGAAAATTTCCTTGGTAAGAAAAAGGTCAGGAAAGTTGCACCAAGGAGTTATTATTTCCAGTACAGTAATGAACGTGCTCATTCATTCTTTGAGGGTAACAAGGGCTGTCCTATATGAATTTGTTGTAAAACTTACTCCATCCTACAATCCTGATCTTGTCTCTGTCAACTTCATTTTGTTCCCTAACCCCTCCCCCCCATATTGAAAAGGAACATGATTTGAATGCCTTGAGAATGCCAAAGGTGCTGTTTGATATGGTAAAAATCCGAGAGCACAGAATTCTTCAGGGGAAGGGATAGAGAGATGGAGACAGGACCATCAGAAATGTATCACATAGGTAGAGGACATGTCAAGAAAAAATAGCCACACAATTAGATATTTTTATTTAATGAAAGTTTCTATGATTTTTATGCTTTTTTTTTTTTTTTTTGACTTACTCTCATATTTGCAGAAATAGTTTAAATCGAAGTGAATCTTCATTATAAATAGATTCCCATGAAGCTTGAGGGCAATTATTTATTTGTTTTAACAATAGTTTTTTTCTCTTAGTTTTTCTTCAGACTGGGTGTGAGCTAGTTTGACATGTAAGAAGGTTTTTTTTTATACATGCTGAGTACCCATCCAACAGAAGACCTGTTTTTATTTGCATGAATTCAACTCTTTTTTCAAAGGACATGTGCATTTTAAATTATACTGAGTTTTTCTGTTTGATAACTATTATGTTTCATGTCTGTTTTGTCTACAAACCCTTGGTGATTTTTAAAACTACCTTATAAGATGCACACATTGATCATAAGGAAAAAGACAG